GCCGCATCAGGAGGAGCAGCAGCAGCGCGAGCCAGAGCAACACAATGAGCCAACTGCAGTGTCTGCAGCCCGAGCCGTGGGAGCCCCAACAGCAAGAGGTGAAACAGCAACAGGTCCCGCAACAATAGTTGCAACAGCAGGATATGCAGCAGCACGAGAGGCAGCAGCAGAGATGCACCAGCAAGAGACAGGGAAACAAGAGATGCAACAGGAGGAACCGCTAGAACGCAGCAGGTGGTGCAGCACCAGCTTGTGTTGCATGAGCCATCTTCTCTCTTCAGTGTGCCCTTTGTAGAGAGAGGCGTAAGATGTAGCATGCTCTGTCTGAAGTTCGTACGTGTGCTGCTACTTGTGTGCATGTCTCTTATTGAGGGCAATCTGTTTAGAGATTGCCTACAGTTTCTCTCCTTGCATGAAGAGAACGGTTGTGTACGCTTGCATGCCCGGGTGCATTACAGCAGGAACTCACGGTTCCTGGACACAGCGGCCCAAGGGCCTGGGTCTCGTGCGGGAAGGAAGCGACAAGTCATGGCTTGTAACGTGCCTTCCTGCAGACGTGGGAGGAAAGTCAGCTAGGCTTTCGGAACTGTCTTCTAAAGTCGTTTGACACTTTTTCACTTCGCGAAGGTTCTCTGCTCATACCGAGGGCAGATACTCATTGCAGATGTGCAGCTGCTCATGCATCCCGTTGGCAACCGGGCTCCGGCCAGCGAGAAGTATCCTCTCCCTGTTCTAATAACGGATCTCTCGGCACAAAAATGCTGAAGACTGTGAGCACATGGACGAGTTTGACTGGGAAGTTTCTGCGCCTAGTTGCAATGTGTGCAAAGCGTCGAGTAAGCTTCCCGCTTGGCGACTGTTGCAAGTAGAATCTCCGAAAACGGTGTAGCAATAGACTGAGCTTGATTTGAAGGCGGGATTTCTGCACTTGGCTGCCCTAAAGAGGCTAAATTTACCTGGCGCAGCACCAGCTCAACCAACATCCGCCTCCACAGCCCATCTGCGCCCAGCCTAAACCGTGCCAGGAGAGTGTAGCCACAGTCAACCACCCCAAGGATCACTCTGGAGTCTTGTTGCATTGCTCCCTCTCCAATGAGAATAACAATGGCCCAAAGTAGCCACTAACCAAACTAGTTGGGGGTCGTCCACGCCAGCTCACTCTGCTGCGAACATGCATGGAGGACACACTGTCTTTTCTGCTCTGCAAACCGGTAGAGACTACCATTGTATACAAATGAAGATTTTATTGGTGAGGTTCTGCTTTATGTGGGCAAAACATGTATGCCTTTCGCATGGTAACCAGTGGATCACTACCGTGCTTGACGGACACACCAATTCTCCGCTCATGTTGCTTGCGTGGGGTTCAGCAACAAGTGNATCACTACCGTGCTTGACGGACACACCAATTCTCCGCTCATGTTGCTTGCGTGGGGTTCAGCAACAAGTGCGCAGCGTGAAAAACAAAGGTGCGAAAGGAAAAACCAAGTGTGTTTCAATGATTTGATTACTGTTAGCTTAAAGAAGATTATGGTGTCCGGGTATGCACTCACACAGCAAGCCCGGTGGAGGTGGGTCAGGGGTAGCAAGTGGTGAGTGCTTCACTGAAACTTCCCACACATCCGCATTTCAAGAATTTTTTTTCAATGCATTTAACTAACTAAGATGCCATGCTATCCAGCAGCAGAGACAGTTGGCCAGAGCCGTCCTCACCTCCGAGGTCAGTTGCATGGTTAGCTGTTCCCTTTCATACCTTACCCAATTTACCCTTTACTCTACTTTTTAGTGCAGATTCTACGGAATGCACGACATACATATGCTTGTATTTTTTATCTTGTAGTTTCTTAATGCTGTGTCATAGTGAGCATATACATCCCTACGACAGATAGGAACTACCGCCGTCATTACAGTGCGCTGAACCACAGACACTTTCAGGATCCCTGTGCTAACGGCATTTATCGTTAAGTAATCATTTCGCATGGTATGAAGCAGTCAAAGGCCCAACAACGCACTAGACCTCCCCGCCCATGCGGACAGACATGTGCAAGTGCTTGATAGGGACGTTGCGTTTCACAGAGGGCTCTTACAGCATCGAGCAAATCAAGAAGTAGCAACCGAGACGATGGAGCCGAGCGAATCAAACGGGCAGCAGGGGAATATCCCTCCAGCGCCTTCCAGCGCTGCGGGACAACTTTCAAGTTTCCCCGCCCCACCGGGTGGCCTATCGCCACCCGTCGAGACCGAGTGTAAGCCGCTGGCTCTACTACACACTACGCACTTGGCGGTTTTTTTTTACAGCACAGCCCTGTCCTGTCTACTACTGCACGCACACTTAAATTGTACCGTGTACAAAAGCTTGTTTGTTCGCGGCTGCTCTGTGTTTGTGCTGCCGCCCTCTGAAGTAACCCGCTGCACCCTGAAGTAACTCGGCTCACTTCCGTGCAGCTGACTGCCTGCTTTTTGCTTTTAGTGCAGACGCAGATGTCTCTTGCAAAACAGACGCCGTACCAAAGGATGCAATCCGGATATTCTAGAGGAGATTCCGGTATTCTTCTCGGCCAAAGGGACTTCGCGGCGACGTTGAATCGCGGAAGTAGGATGCCTGACCACTTCACACATGTATGCACAATGCCTGCATGAGTGTCGTAGAGCCCTAGACAAGCAGTCATTTGTCTCTTCCGAGCTAGTGTGGGCGTTTTGCGCATTTGTGCTGGACTTCTCGAGCAAGTGCGTCCTACCGAATGGCATTCCCCACGCTGTCATGTCTCACGCGAACGTATTTGTAGTGGAGAGCCCATATTTGGACGGTCAATCTGATGGTTTGGGTAGTATGTTGAACTCCGTGGGAACACGGCTCTGCGTCACAGTCCAGTTCAAAAGCCCGCACTTCCTTACGTAAGAACTTTGGTGTCTACGATAAGTATATATAGGCCCTTCTGATACTTTGTTCTCAACCAGGTACACTCAGGGAAATTGTGTGTTACATCATTCAGGTGGTGGATTAGAGACGAGGACTCAGCGAGGACAGTCAGTATCTTCTCAGATGTTCTTACCGGTTCCATCATCCGGAGAGGGTAATAACCGATGCTTTGCTATATTTTCCTTTGTCGTTTGCAAAAAGTGGAGAAGGGACGCTTGGAGACGGGCCTGCTCAGTGTACCAGAGTTTCCACTAAGTGTCAGCACGTGATGGCTTTGTTCACCGTGATCAGTTGCATTTGCTATGTTTTTGTTGCTGTAGGTTCGGATTTTCCTGTTGCTGATGGGCCTGCGGAGGACTCCCAGGAAACACTAAGCAAGAGGCATGTTCGCATGCTATATGNCCTGTTGCTGATGGGCCTGCGGAGGACTCCCAGGAAACACTAAGCAAGAGGCATGTTCGCATGCTATATGTAATTTTTTGTGCCCAAAAGTTTTTTTGCGAGCTTCTTGGTACGCTTTTCCTTGTTACATCGATTGCTTTGGCAGAGAAGGGGAGCCATTCCATCTTCTCTCCGTGTTCGGTCTCTGCTGTGGTGTACGTCTTGACATTCTTGTTCGTGCCTATAAGCGGTGCTCACTTTAACCCTGCAGTTTCCACTGCAATGTTTGTGACGTCTAAGCATTTCCACGCTTTTGAGTACATCGCATATTTCCTTTGTCAATTGATCGGAGGCACTTGCGGAGCCCTGATTGGTTGGGCAATTGTGGGAGAGCCCCTTGAAGTTCTTCCGCTTGATCCTGGCGCTTCTTCAGCTCGTTCAATATTTCACGAAGTTATTCCGACAATCTTGCTTATCTACACATGTCTCGTACTAACATTCGCAACGAGTGCGGGAGATGTCAGCCTTGTAACCATCCCCCTGACTGCAGCGATGGTCGTTCTGTTTGGCGGTATTGCGGGAGCAACGATGAACCCAGCCGTAGCAACTGGCATTTATATGTCCCACCTGATCTTCGGAAGACGGCACACATTGACCCGGGAAATTCTAATCGGCATCTTCTGCCCGTTTCTTGGAGCATTCCTCTCTGTTGTTGGCTTCCTAGTCACGCATGCGTACACCCATCCCCTGGAACTCCGGTTTATTCATTTCTCCTAATTCTCGTTGGCAGCTCGCCGAGCTGCATCGACCGGCTTGCCTTCGAGGGTATCCAAGATGGGCCAAACTGCGGACAGCTNTACTGCGATATTTCCAGTTGTGGGGCGTGAGGGACTAGAGCAAAGCAGCGCGGTGGTTTGGCGGCCATCTTGCCGGATGTACAGACGGACCGAAGTGGAGGACTTCTCCATGGAGCTTCGTTTCGTGCTGAATGACGAAGTTCACCGTCTCAGCTAGGGGGGATCGGGTGTTATTGTTTTAGGAATTGGGGACCGGACGGGGGGCGGCCGAATGCTTGCACCATCGTCTCCCCAAAGCGCCCGACTAATAGATGTTCAGCGTGTAGTCACAAGTGAACAGAAGAACTAGCCGTCTATCAGCGCAGGTGCACTCTAAGTGTTCCCGCCTAGCAGATCCTCCCGCACACAATCTGAGCTCTGGCAGAGCATAGATTATGCCCGTGGGAATGCATATCCCTTCCGTCCAGACTACTCTAGAATTGTCGCTGACACGTTGGTGAGGGTATAGTTTTTAAAACTCGTTTGGTACATTATACGTAAACGATTTTTTCCACTCCTACTGTCGTACTTTCCCATGTATAGTATACAACATCTGCAACATCTGCACGCACAGTGAAGTTGCGCTCTAAGATACTACTGTGAAGTGGGGGGCTATGGTATGTCCACCAAAATGTTTTGCGCACTACCCCAAGGGCAGGTTTAAAAGCCACGTTTCAGGAAGCTAGTTTCAGCAGGGTACTGAGCTATTTTCTTCGCGTTCTGTGGGCAAAACAATTCGCACGTCCACGCTTCGGCGTCTGTGTCTAAAGATACACTGCACCACACACATACACAGAGGCGCCGTTTGCTGCGTACTAACGCGCCTTTTGAACTTCCCTTGCGGGAAAGCGGCAATGAAAGCCCGGTTGAGCTACAGCCCTGCTAGCTCGCATTCCTTGTTGAATGCCAGGATCGCCTCCAAGTCTTGCTGATCTGATGTTTCCTTTGGTGAACCGTCGGCTCCGGCATCTGCCGTCGCCAGCGCTGTTGTTGGAGGTTGCGCTTCGGCTGGTGACGGCGTGCCAGCCGAAGCTTCGTCTTCAACGGTGTCATACTGGTGCAGCTGCTTCCTCCATTTCTGGTAGGCGCGCTGAAATTGGGCCTTGCTACATCGTAGTTTGGCATCTGGAGTCATCGGATCTCCCTCTGAACGGCGTTCCGTTCCCACTCGCTTAAGGAAGTTTCGGTAGCCTGCAGTAGCCTTCCCGATAGCTATGTCCTTCATTCTCGCGCATTCACGCCGGTGCCACTCTTCTTCATCTTCCTGCTCCTGTTGCTCCTTGCTGCTGTTGACCATCGCTTGCTGTTTCTTAACTGCTTGCGGATGAAGAAGTCCAGGCAGTGGGGCAGCGGTCCCTGGGGGGAGTCCAACTGGCATGAACATAGGGGACACGAGACCTGGCAACTGCAAAAAGGCGGGAGCTCCCATGTGTAGCAGCAGCCCTGCATTGGACGGGCCTTCAGAAGCTCTGCGCGTTCCACCTGATCGGTGCCGATCATTCCCCTTTGCGCTACGACGTTTTCCCTGTTGCCCATGCGACATGACTGAAGACTCATTACTCGCCATTCGCTCAGGAAAATAACCATCTGCGGACCGGCGAGAATAAGTAGACCTGCGTCTTTTGCTCTGAGGAAAGCGCTGAGTCACCCCTTCCTGGGCAGCAGCTGATGCAGACCCATCTTGGGCGGGCGCCTCCGAGTTTTCGGCAACTACATTCGGAGCCCCATCAGGAGCCCCAGAGGTCCTTCTATTCCTTTTGGCAGGTGTGAGAGTAGCTGCTTCACTGATTTTACAGGCCGCGTTCCGTTCTCGTCTACCAGCGTTTGAAGTATCATCGCTCGCACCAGCGCTAGCCCCATCGCTTGGAGCGCTAACCAGCAACCCCCGAAACCCAGGCATCTTCCCTGCAGCACCGTCCTCCTCGTCGGGACTTGGTTTGCTTGAAGCCGATTTGTCTGATGAACATGCAGCCGCTACATGCCCTGTGCCGTGGACAGAAGCATTCCCGTTTTTACTGGAATCTTCGCCGCCTAGAGCAGCTGCCTCAAAAAAATACTGATTCATCCCTGCCTGGCTGTTTTCGAACTCAGGAAGAGCAGCAACGTCGCCTGGGGCATAAGATTGATCTGCCTGTTCGGCTTGCAGCAACAGTGCAGCCTGTGCAGTGCCTCCTGGGGCGGTTTTGCTGCGGCTGAAGGATTCAGTGGACATGTCAGCCCACCGAATGCCTGAGCGGAAGACCGCCATCTTCTTTGTCGGAAATAAGCAACCAGATGCTCACTTACGATGGAGCCAACGGCCCTGCCGCCTAAGCCTGAGACACCGCACATTCGGCAGTTTGCTCGCATGCTGCAGTAAACCTCCACCCACGTGCACCTGCAAAATGTTTGAAGGTGTATTAAAGATGAGCTACGTGCAGATGGAGCTGCCAAGAAAAAAACGATATTTTTGTGTGCAGTCAGCATTGAAGGCTACCGGAAGGGATGCGCGCAACTCCATCTGAAGGTCCAAATGAAACCAACACACGTAATGCTCTAAGAGCCTGTCATCCATCAAGCCATACCCAGCCTCACTATTAAGCATGGAAAATCGACCTGCCATTTGGGACTCATGCTCGCATTTCATGACCACTTCGCAGTTCACGTCTACCCACACATCCCCCGTGCCAGTTTCTAAATTAGTTCGCATTCGCTTCCTTGTGGCCGTGTTATGCTGCATGTTTGTAGTACGCAAATTGTGTCTGTCATGATGTGCGCTCTCTTCATCCTCACCTCAACTGGAGGGGGCGTTCCTTGGGGACTGCAAACAGAGTGAGACAGGGTCAGTGCGCAGCACTGCGTCTGACAGCAAAAAAGAGTAGACAAGTTGGCCAAGTGGAAAGTAGCATGAATATCCAAAGCAAAGTGACCCTTCTGGTCCTTGCCAAGCTGGGGTGTTTGTTTTGGCAGCCACAGCGGTCGGCTGATGTGCCGGGGCGGTTCCAGATGCGTTTCCGGCGCCCCGGACCCAAATGTTCAGTTGGGAGGAAGCTCCTGGAGGATGCGGGCTTCAAAGACAATTCTACAAAGTTGGAGATGGGGGAGCTACACCCCTCAATGGCCGCTCAGGGACAGTAGTTGCACCCTGCAAGCAGCGGCAAAGAGCACCGTCAAATTGAGAGAAGAAGAGTAGACGACGTCAGAGCAGGCCGACGGAGGGTAGCGCTTCAATAAATTGAGTCTAACGAACCCCCTCGTGTCATTTAAATACTGTTTTCCTAGAGAGCGTGCACTTGGGTGCTTTTGAGCATCACGAACGGGTGGGTGGGAGGTACACCCTCCTCGTAGGTCGCTATGTTCCTCCAGCCACTACATATTACTAATATTGGTCCAACATTAGGTGCGATCCCTAAGTAAGTCGTGTATTTAACCCTTCGGCATATGTACATTCGAGATACATCAACTAAAAAGAGCCAAAAGCTCTTCACATTAATAGAATTGGGGACTGTACACGTGCGCTTGACGCGAGGTCCCTCACAGCACTGGCTACTGCCAGCATGAGCCTTGTTAGCACTGCTTCTAACAGTACCCGATCCTAATTCCATTTGGCATACTTTTCTTGTTTTTACCCATGATTCAAATTTATTTCCACATCCCGAGCACATTGAAGTAGTGGGCACTACTGATTTCCCTCCTGGAAAAATGCTCTCCTTCTTTGAGACCCGGTGACGGGAACCCGCACTGTTCTACCTGCCGAGGCGCATATTGAACACCATGGCTGTCCTTATTGCATCCTGCTTTGCACAATCCGTGACATTACGTCATTTCATGTGTTTAGTTGGCGCTGGACCTAGCGGACTGTATGGCATGCCGTGTAGCATGGTGTGTCTACAGTTCGTACATATATCTACGCTTGAGCTTAGGCTAGCTACTGAGAAGTATGGAAGTGTTTAACAGTTCTCTACGGTGTTAGTGAATACGTCGAAAAGATGGGTTGAGGATGCTTGCATGTGGGGCTGCTTTGCAGCACGCGCTGCAGCACGTAATGCCCCAACTCAAGGCAAGTGGCCGTCTCTCCTCATCAACCCCATGCCTTTCTGCCGCAGTGACAAGGAATCCTCGAGACTGGAGAGGAGGCCAACTGGTTTGGGGGAGCTTTTATCTCAATCATTTTGGATTCATGACAGCTCACGATGGTCCTGGGCATAGATCGAGGACTGTCAATTCAAAAGTAGCACGGAGCACAGTATGGTACATAGGGAAAGAGACGAACTGATAACTCCACACTCATAGCTAAGCAGCCCCACATAAAGTACCCATTAACCGCAAATGCGTTTTGCCAAGGTATAAACTTTAAAATTTCCCCCTAAGGCATTTCTTAAAGATTCAGCTTTTCGCCAGTCCAACGATGAAAAGTGAACAAGATATTGCCTCCTCTGGGAGGGGACCAACGGCTGAGAATCTCGCCGCGTAAGAACGAGGGCGCCGGCTGCGACCCATCCAGCCTAAGATGCTTCTACCGTTAAGCCAATTTATAAGAGTGCCTTCGCCTTGCCGACTTTATAAATATGACGGGGGTCCCGATGTGGGGCAAAGGAGGATTTACATGCTGCTCTGTAGGCGTGCGTTGGTTTTAAAAATGCACCCGAAGATCTATAGCTGCTATTGGCATCTCTTTGTTTGAAAAGGTGCGTCAATTGTGGTTGTATTAAGCAAGGGTGCCACTTTTCTTGAGGGGTCCGGAGTGTCGAACGCCCCAAGATGCGTTGAGGTGTAAGTTTACGCCCTGGCGCTCAGGGAAACAGGATATACAGGTCTAAAGAAAAATCAGACAAGAAGTGCCGTCGAAAGAGCGCTACATCAAGAGGCTTCAGTGCTTAGTGAATAGAACTGCAAGGATGGACTCAAAGCAGCTTTATCTGTGGCTAATCGGAGGCTTGTCCCCTGGAGAAAAATAATCCGGACCTGGCTGGGACGTGGAGAAGAAACTAAGGGGTGAAACAGGAGAATTTGCCGAGATGATAGAACATCTTCTCATGAAAGAGAGAAAGCACCAACCACGTCAACCGCAATAGCTAAGGGAGAAGAAAAAGGATATGGGAGTGAACCAGATATAGAACCCATGCATATTCTATTGGGGCTGTGAATTGCAGCTACGCTCAGGAGATGAGCAGTGAGAGCGGATGACATCGGGCGTACCATATTTTCTGCCTATGGATATTGGGGATGCGAATGTCCGACCAGCCCAGAAGGCGATTAGAAGCGGTAAGGGAAAGCAGCCAGCAAATTTTTAAAAGCTCGCTTCGACTATGTGGTAGCCAGCGCCAGCATGGGCATGTGCGAAAGCTTAATTCTGAGTTCTTGGCAAATTGTAGGCAGATGAGCCGGTGAAACGAGTCAGGAGGCGCTTATACTTTTCTTCCCAGGTGTTCTCTAAAACCCTAAACCCTAAACCCTAAACCCTAATCCCTTTGTTGTCTTTGATATATACCTCCTTATATACCCCTAAGTAGCTCGGTATCGCTGCCGAAAACACCCTTATCTGCGTAAGAGTGAGGGTCGATTGAACAGTGAAGTGTGTTTGAGTGCTTATTGGTGTTTATTGAGTGAATAATTGACGAATGTATTAGATATTGTGTACGAATAGACGTATTGATATGACTATAGGAGAGGCTGGCATGAGACTTGGTTCAAAAGGTGTTGCAACATGACAGGCCGTCTCCTCTCCCAGCCCCAAAGGCCCCAGTGCCGGCCAGGTCTTGTGGGGTTCCAGAACAAGACAATTTTGGGNGGGAAAAAAACAAGATAAGCGACCGCCTTTAAGCATTGCTAGCTTTGTTAGTTTGCTGTATTGGATGAGATGTCTGAGTGTCTGTTGCAGTTTGCTTGAGGGTGCCAGTTAACTAATGCCTGCCGGCTCGTTATACGCAGCTGTGGGGGTTCTAAGGATGCGCACCTCAGAGGAGCAGCCTACTAATATGTCATGTTTACTGCAATTATTATACTAAGGTATAATATTCTTTGTTATCGTGGACAAATCTTGGCATAGCATGTGAAGGACAGATGATATGCACAACACAGCATCAGCTTACTCGGCCAGTAGTACCTCCAGTGTTATGCGTTCACAACATCCCATCGTGTGACGGAAGTTCGATCCCTACAAGGTTTCACAGTTGGGTTTTTGTCTGCATTTGTGTTGCCGTTGGGAGCACAAGAGGCACAGCTGGGGGCATTGAGTGGTGCATCCACAGACGAGACTGAGATCAAGTTCCGTGGGCCCTATGATTCCCGAGGCCCCAAACTCCCCTTAGCTGGCCTGCTGTAAGGCACTTTCTCACAGTAGCCCATGATACCCTTTTCTAGATGTTCAGCAGGCTGTGTATGTTTCTCGGAAAGAGGAGGTAGACCGCCTAAGAATCATCAGTGGCTTCGGCAGGTCAGCAAACTGGGGTCCCATAAGCACTCCACGGCTATTTACTGTACCCAGAAATTAGCGGACCTGTGTGATGCTTGTCAGCATTCAAGGCAACATTTCCAAAGCCCTAAGCTTATCTGCTGCCATCCTAATATCCGACGAGTAGGCCTGATCGAAAGAAAGTGCAAGTTGGCCACTAAGTCATAGAAACCTACTTTAATTTTGAACAATATTTTTTATAGTCAGAAAGCGGAGACAAGTCACCTGGCTACCGCTCTGAAAGTATCGGACAGTGGCCGTCAGGCCTTATTATTGATTCTCACACAAGGGGGGTCTCTAAGGGACTATCGCACGTTGGCTTCAATGGAAAGTAAACATAAGGGAGCCACGCAGCGGAACGTAGGATTTTCAAACGGTCTGAATAATGTTGGGCACTTGCTCTATCTTGTTGGTTTTCAGTCTCCACACCAGCAGAACCAGGAAGGGAACGTTTGAGCACCAAGTAAGGTCGCACAGCTGCAGTTCCTTAGTTGTGGGGTGCACTACTTAGATATACCGCAGTCAGTAACAAGGATAAACGATGTTCTGCATTATACGAATTCGATCCTCGGGCATTCCGTTAGTTTGGGTTGCAGGACCCAGAAGAACTCTCCCACTCTATTTCAAATAGCTAGTTTTGGTGATGCCCTAGTACCAAGTTTCTGACCCAGGACGCCCCCAGAAATACGGTCTTCTTCTCAGCGTACGTCTCACAACTATATTCTTTACAAAGGGGTTCTCAAATTCCATAATTTGATCTCAGCCTATTTGATTGCCTGGCAAACCTTTCAGAGTATTGGTTCCGAATACCTATACTGCTATTCCCTTATTCAGCTGTACTGTGACGCTTGCTCTTTGTCCTCATTCAAGGACAGACGCGGCTGCAATGAAGGCAAAGGCGCGAGGTAAGAGTGTCAAAAAAAGCAGCTGACCTCTCTACTTGGCTGCCAAGCATCCTGGGCGATGAGTTTAGGGTCTAAGGCAGCATGAGTGGAGTTGATGTGCACCTCGTTGCAGTTTGAGATGCAAGCCAGCCTCAGGTGTGAGCAGAAAGAAACTTCAACGAGGCTTCTTTTACTGCATTCGTTACCTTTATATCCACTTGTTAAGCGTTTGTAGTGCATTGCTTGCAACCTACCCCGGCAAAGTGAGTGTTCCTGTGTTTGCAGGCAGAGCACACTGCATACACACCCCGACAGTGCTTGAGAGTGTAAATTGTAATATCTGATTTTCGTGTCCTCGCTAACAAAGGTAGAAGTTATTCACTATCCGAACGTTTCGGGAATTAAGGGTTCGTTGTCACTCCAAATCCTCCAGGCATACCTAGAGGTCTCCTGCAGAACTCCAGGGGCCTTACACCCTTCATCGGCTTACCAACTGCTGTCGTACAGATGCAGTCTACTCACGCCCGTACCTTCTATCTTATTATGCATTAGTGTATTTATTACCTAATTTGTGTATTTTAGCGTGTTAAATACTACAGTAACGGTGAGAACTGCGACCGAACTTGCAGTGCGCGCAGGACTACAGGTGGGAATGGAACACGACTCGCAGTTGTACCAGCTCATTAAAACTGTTCAAAATATGGAGAGCATGAACTTATACTACAGTAATATATGGTAATTAATTAGCAACCAACGGTCAAGCCCCAGACCCGGTTCGGTTGCGGGGTGCAACATCACGCCCCACGTACGGGGCTGAACTGGCCATCAGGGACGGCCTACTGTGTTCCACGGTTTTCGAGGGTTATGAGCGATTAAACGTTTTGCGGTCCGGCCTTCGCACGTGCGTCTTCTCGTTATCAATGAACTAGTGAAGGCAAGTCAAAATTGGGCAATTTAGCCCCTTGCATTTTGCGGAACAGCGGAAACATGCTTTTTGGGAGTGTGGGGTATTTGCATGTTTTCTCTTTACGCTGCTTCTCGGCCCCATATTTCCGTATAAATAATCACTCCACCCTTTTTCTTTTCTGCATAGCTGTGGGGAACTGGTCCGTAGGCAATCATGCCGGCCCCCTGTAAAGCACGCCCCTGGTTAGCAGTTGCGCTATGAACAAGGATGTTCTCGGCAGCTCTGCGTCTTCCGTGGACGGGAACGACGTCGCATTGCACTTTGATCAAGTTTTGATGGATCATTTGTGAATATACTACGCATTCATGCTTCTTTTGTGCTGCTCGGCGGGGGCGATGGGGCTTGGGACCGTGACGCTAAGTTGTGGCTGTGCAGCGTTGAACGGAGAATAAAGAGTTACACCGAAGTTTAGTTGTGTCTGAGAGTGTAGAGGCACTGTTGCGGCCTCTGCGGTGGTCGTCAAAAGCGCAGACATCCGCTTGGCCGTGCTCTCGAAGGGAACTGCAGGGCGACCGCGCACGTTGGTGCCTGGGCTTGCGTATATGCCATAACCCTGCGTTTGTATGCACATGGTTGGGAATTATTAAGTGGGCGGTTGCTGTGAAGGTTGTCAAGCTGCTTATAACGGTGTGCTTTTTCGCTGCTGCAGATGGTGCGCATGTCCGTTTTAGCCGACTGCCTCAAGACGATCGTCAACGCAGAAAAGCGGGGACGCCGTCAGGTGCTCATTCGACCCTCTAGCAAGGTGGTGGTCAAGTTTCTGCAGTGCATGCAGAGACGTGGCTACATTGGCGAATTCGAGATTGTTGATGACCATCGCTCCAAGAAGATCGTTGTGGACCTGCTGGGGCGCATCAACAAGTGCGGTGTAATCAGCCCGAGGTAACGCCATGGAATTCCAAAGCCCCTTGATACCTTTGAGCATGCTTGGCTGCGTGGTAGTTTTGACGTACTTTTCACCGAAGTGCATTGCACTACTTAGGTGTTAACGGAAAGCCGCAGCGGAGTGATTTCGTGTGGTTCGTCTTCAGGTACGATGTGACAGTAGCAAATATTGAAAAGTACTGCTCCAACTTGCTGCCTTCTCGCCAATTCGGCCACTTGGTGCTGACGACGGCGTATGGCATCATGGATCATGAGGAAGCCCGCAGAAAACACACCGGAGGGAAGATCCTCGGGTTTTTCTTCTGAGTTGACTCATGAGTAATTAGGGGGCGCTGGCATTGGACCGCGCCTCACGACGTCCACGGCAAGGAGTGCGCAACAGTTGCTGGTTGATGTCCCAGCGGCGCTCTCAGTTGCGTTCGGATAGTTTCTGTGGACAGGAACTACTTAAGCTTTCGGCCAACGCTTTTCCCCTACTTGGGGCTTCCTTGCTTTGAACATAGCTCACGCAAACAACTCGCAACGGGCTGCACAACTTTACCATAAAAAACATTTCTCGAAAAATTCCTTCCGGCTGCGTGGTACCCGCAACAATCTCTAATTCAAATGTCATTTTTGCGGGTCGCCAAGTGCAGCTGCGCTGGTGACGTATTGCTCAGTTCGACTACACATGCTCTAACAGACGATCAGCATTCGCTGACGGACGCCCTTGCGAGCATCAAAAGCGTCTGGGGTCCGCCACCGGTACACGCGTGCTTCCTTCCCGCATTGACGGGTTACTGGACACTATTTAACGCGCGTCGGGGAATTGGGTAGTGTTTGCCACAGGTATAACATCATTCAGTTGGTCCGCTTTAGCGGTGACGTCTCGATTACCCGACAGTTGGGCGCCGTAAACGACCTAAATAGTAGAACAACTAGGGGGAGTAGTTGTTCATACACTGTGAACATTATCGCCGACGACAACAACGTGGCCGTGAGCTTCGAAGGCAAGCCGGCAAAGAGGCCTGGAAGGCCTTCCGTCTCGAGAATCATGATCAGGCTCCTCACAGTAGCTGCCAGAGAAGCACAACACAGTGGAGCAACTACAAATGGAAGATGTACTTCGGATAGTTAGGGTGTCGTTGAGGGTCCATTGTGGGTGGTGGTTCCGCAGAGCAGAGAGGCGGCTACTGGTCCTGGCTATTCCATAGCCTTCCTTACATGAATAGTCCTTAACATTATATACTTTGCTTTGTGCTCGCGTCTTGACCACAAGATAGGGGTAGGTCACAAGGGTTGCCGCCAGCTTTGCCGTTAGTCCTAAGCCAGAGGCGCATATCAACAGTTAGCTAACCCACGTATACGGAATACTACGGCTTATTGCCAGGCTAGCAACGAGTTTGCCATATCGTGACTAGGTAAGTATCTGGATACAGATGCAGGCACAAGAGCACGGGATTATAAGAGGAGGAAACGCACCCATGAGGAACGATTCAGCAGGTGTTACGCGAACTCGTAGCATTTTATCGGAAACAAGGGACCCAGTACTGCTGTGTTGGCTGCTGAGTGAATTCGAAGATGAAGCCCGTGAGGCCGTTCGCCATCTCTGTTACGACAGCAACAACAAAGAAAACACATGACAACTTTAATGCAGAAGTGTACGGTGGACACGACAAGGCTGACCAGCAGAGGCTACAAACCAACCTGTTTTAGCTGCATCAGTTTCACCCGTAAGTGATCATAGAGGGTGAACTGAATAGCAGGATTTAAAACCAGAACTAGAGCTGGCACGATCCCCGCAAGCCATCCACGAAACCCTTCCTTGCGCAGGATCGCTATTAGCATCTTGAAGATGCCCTGAAGCTCGCCAGAGAGAAACAGCTAGCTGAACAATCGCGGACGCCTACCATATATATGAGTTGTTTGACTCATATGTATGCTCCAACATCGGCGTGTAGTAATGCCGGAATGAGTGGTCGTCAGCGTAAAAGCGAACAGTTCAACACTTACCTGTTCGTTGGCTTTCGCAGAGAAGTCAACCTTAAGGCGTGTATTTGCCACCCAGACTGCATGAGAACGCACGGTAGTACTGTATTCGCATCCGCCTCAGCGCAATTCCACTATAAAGCATGTCGAGCATATTTTAGCCCCCTGATTCTCTAGTCTACAGAGTTCTAAATGCCTACTGTAAATGCGCGTGGCCCTTACATGGATTGCTTATGACAGTAGAGCAAATTCCGGCACCGATCGCCATGGGAAGATTTGTGCCCGTTTTGGCCTTATGGCCTCTGCTGCAGCATGAAAAGTCAGACGCCCACGTTGCAACGAAACTTCTACTGTACAGTGGACTGAATTTACAGTTTATAGAAATATCAGCAAGCAAGTGGAGGCCCACCGGTTCTTCTCCTTCTGTTTTGCCAGCGTGTAAACGAAAAAGTATGTGCCCCAGCTAAAGACAACTCCTGCAAGAGCTGCCTTTATCCCCCTATACAAGCGCCTCCAGCCACCATGGCGCAGGTGAAGCTTTACAACATCCCAGGCTGATCCACCCTGTACTGATTGGATGGTGCGGAGAGAGTCCAGAGGGTAAACGACTGCCATAGCTACGACGGCCCCTGCTGCCCCAGCAACTGTGTGAAGAAATGCGTGCGTTGCATCGCTCATTTGAGGTGGTGCAGTGGCAGCGACAGCTGCTGCTAGTGCTGCTGCAGTTGCACAATCGTCAGCACGGTTGAATTTACCAGAGGTGTTAGCTCTTTGGGTCATCCAATGGCCGCCAATATCATTTGTCTCTAATTGTCCCGAAGCTATAGTCCGGTGGGTTCCGGGAATAAGAAAATTTAAAATTCGTTTCCTTGACTCGCTTGACTTTGAACGTCGTAGCTGCCGCTTCCATGCAGGAAGTAACGCATCTGGGTCTGGTGAGGCCAGTCGCTCACCGACTGTTGAAATCCTTGTGAGGGTGGCGGTTGGGTGGATTGGGATGGGCGATACAAACACTGGCATATTTTCGACATCTTCATCCATTGTTTCAAGGGAGTGCATTTCTTCAGCGCTGGGTTGACCGCGGCGAGTCATAGGCGGTATCGCCTTCAAAGCTTATTGTTTACACCTCGTTGAAACTGAAATCCCGTTGGACACTGTTCACTCCTAAGCATCCGAAGGTGCCTGCAACCACAAACCTTCTTATTGCTGCCGAAATTATGGGGGGGGGAAACAGCTGGTGGAGGCGGGAAATGCGCGGGGTTTCCTAGGCAGAGCACTGTCCGAGTTCGCCAGTTGAGGGGGTGCTATCCCATGAATTTCTTCTGAAATCTGGAATCAAATACCGGGCACGCCAAACGTTATGGGTTTACGATGGCCAAACATTCAAGTATGTCGCCCGCCTCTACGCTGATCGGAGGCTACCGGCTAGCAGGCACGCGAGCTCGGGTAGTCTGGCTGTGTTGGACAGCAAATTGGCCTCCACAGAAATTAAAGCAATGCACACAGCGCTAGATCTGTACTTGATTGGAAAAGACAGAGGCTTTCTCGTGCCGGTGGTTTGCCCACGCCAGCGTGTAGCCCAGTATGGCTGCCGAATCCAGCCAGCGGTGACCACCGGTACTTCCTGCCCGCTTCACTCACCAGGACTCACCACAAATATCCCTATGTATAGTGTATACTTATAAAAGATAATTATTTTATCTCCACTGACTTCATGACGCGTACGTGACTAATTTGCGGAATGTTGCGGCTCCTCACGTAAGCGTCGTACACTGCTCACCCGCATGCGCGTCTGTGGGCTCTTCCATGTGGGCGACTCATTCGCCTCGATTCGTTACTTACAAGAGAACCTTGGCATGAAGGTGTTGTCCTCGCATTTAACGCCTCCCGTGTGCCTACGGCATTTGCAGCATTCCAAGTCTACTAAGTGTTTCACTCAATCACTTTGGCGTCATAACCTTGGCCAGAGGCACGTCACCAAGCAATACGCAGAACTTCCCTCCAAGCCATAAGCATCCACAACTCCCACATGAATATGGTGTAGTGACCACTTGAATGGGCAGCCGATCAGCTACTCAATCTGGAGTGTGCCATCGCTAACCTCGCTAGTAAGAAAACTCTTCACGTCCCACGCTGCTTGTCTAGATACATGCCGCACATACAGCTACCTCAGCTCGTCAAGACAGCTCTACCCCGCGCCTCGCAACACCCTAAAGGTGTCGTGCGTTACACAAACAAGGAATGCCACTAAGCCCGCTGCAATGGAATGGGCCGCTCAAGCATTCCGCATTCTTCCGTCAATCTGTCCACCCCTAGTCATCAACAGCTAACGATGTGAGCTGTCTGCGGCGGTACGCCTGTTGCACTGCTGTCGTCGTTTCTGGGAAGCACTGCAGTACGTACAGTACTGACTTAGACACGGTATCTCACGGCTCGTACATAAGGTAAGACTTGACCAAATCAGTGAGTCTCCGAACAAACGGGTCCCAGGAAAGGCAGCACGCGACGAGCGACCTATGCTGTCGGCTCGGTCATGCGCAGAAATAAAGATCAATACACAAAAAGCTGCATCCCAAGGGAAGATGCAAAACCAAAATTCTAGGGGGATAAGAGTACTGACAAGCTTCGCGCAGGTGCTGCACTAGCCAATCAAACCACTCCACCACTTCCCCATCTTGGATATTAGGGAATTTGATTCTCGTAAGCTTGAATTTGTCTGCTCTGCGTGATGGCTAGCTCGTTGGATGCTTTCCCTCTGCATGTATAAGTTGCACAAGATGTTCGCTCCAACAGCCTCAGTTTCTTCGGCGAGTTTCCGCGCATTACCCAGCTGCACACGCCCGCAACAAGTCGCAAACAGTTTGCATCGATTATGCCGGGCCTTCTTGCAGGGAAGGGTGCCGCGCATCGATTTGAGAAAGCTTCACCTGAATATTTGCACTGTTTAACCTTTCCAGAGCTTGGCTGCCACGGTTCACGTCGGTGGTCGCCGCCGATTCTTGGCCACGGGAAGTTGTAAGCAAGCATCTGCAGCGCAAATACGTCCAAACGTCACACTTACCCTTGGCTCAGGTCACGGAGAATGAATCGCAAATCGCAGCTTCGCTTCTGCATTGACAAGCCTAGGTGATCTACAATTTTGCAGTCAACTTTGCAGTTTTTTTCTGTTGAAGACAAACCTGCGTTGAAGCCTGGCAAACTCATCACGGCAACTCTGAAGCTGGCCTAAATGGTTGCTTCGTTCCGCTGGCGGCATGGAACGCAGCTCCATTTCAAATGCCCCGAGGCAGTCTGTACAGAGTCATGCAATCGCATGCACCACTGAGAAACGGTTAGCGCATAGCCACGCGGACAAGCAAATGCTCTTAAAACAGACACTTGAGCCTGTTGCACAGGCTCAGCACAAGCATGTTGTAGAACAAATGTTGCATAAGCTTGCCTTTAATTTCACGCAGCTTGGAGTCTGGCGATGCATATGGATCCCTTCCTGTTCCTGCACTGTCTAGCATGCTCTCCAGCTCAGCACACAGGCTGTGGAACTCCGCCACGTACTCGTTCAGCATTTTATCCAAACAAATTATCCCGTTAAGCACTGATTATACTAAAATATTCACCATACTAGCACACCGTGCAGGTAGGGCACGCGGACAAGTATGAAGCCGGCGTCGTGTGAGTAGGGGGCGTCGACAAGTAGACAGCTCCAAATTGCTTTCCTACAGATGGCCTGCCAGCCTCAACTATTAAGAACAGTAGAAGCTGAGCGGTCTCAACGAAAAGAATGCCAGTAATTGGCGCTTAAGCGACCCGTTGCAGTTGGAATCCGTTGGCAAGACAGGCGTTGCGATGTGCGCACCGCAAAAGAGGCCCGACACTTTAAGGTGGACTTATTCTAATTTTCCTAAAATTCCACAAAAACAGCTGTTTTCAACTCTTGCTGGTGTGCTTCGCGCCCGCTCCCGACACGCGCGATCGGCTCGCTAAAGTGGCCGAGGCGACAGTACTGGCATTATCCTTGCTGGGATCCAGGGGCATTTGCTGCTTAAAAAATACAGAACATCGCGCTGAACCAGCTCGAAGACAATTGCCGGCAATTAGAGTGGGACCACGAGTGAGGGATCTTGCTTTGACGGTCTGCATGTACTGCCGGGCACTACGGTGTTGAGCGGAAAGAAGACAGTGAGTTCACGTAGTTCAATCTGAAGGCGTTTATTGTGTAATTAAAAGCAAGTAAAAGTGGAAACCCTAGTTTATAGCGGTTTTGGGGTACGGGATAGGCCTTGGACGGGCTGTGACCGTGCCCAGGGTTAGGGCTGGCTGTAGTGCACACGTACTACAATGGATCCCTTGCGTGGCCTCTATAGGCCTAGTATCGTGAAAAGGGATAAATACTATATAATATCTCAGGAATTAGGACACTTTTAGATAGAAGAGATGCATAATAGGATCAGAGTGCTCGTCAGCCGGCACCGGCTTGGGGCTGCGTGTGAGGCTGATGCTGTGACTCTGGCTGGCGAGGGTCAGGGGCAGTTCTATTATTCTGGGTTTTCCTTTCAGACAGATAATAAGAAGTCGAATGTGTTTTGAATATCTAAGGCGTTTAATAGCGGATTTAGTGAGAATCATGGATTTTGGTGGCTAGATGAAGATGTTGCACTTAGTCAGAATAGCTTAGGGTTCATGCGTGGTACCAGCGACTGCGAGTTGTTCACTACACTGCCGGTGACACGGCCGGCGCCAAGAATACCGGTACACGGGAGAACATCAGGAGACCGTTCTTTTTAGAGGACGGTTACACTTAAGAATGTTGTTGTATGATTTTTAAGGAATGAATCTGATGTTTTATGCATAGAGACAGGGATTTATCTGCTGCAATCAGTTGGTGTTCCACGTGTAGTGCTGGGCCCAATTCCCTACGCGGGGGGAAACTGTTTGCGGCCATCAAAGCACGGTGAAGCTTTAGTAAACCGCTTAGTTCGCAGTTGAATGCACTCACGTGACACTGTTCATGACGATTTCAGAATGGAATCTGTCTCGAGTGTCTTAGATGAAACACACTTCTAGTTGGACATTCTGTACTCTTGCGTGCCACTGGATGACCAAGGAGGCGGGTCTGCACCATCAACATCCTGCGCCGGCATGGCTTCCCTGCAAATATCCCTGGAGGAACGCACCTGAATAATAAGACGTATCTTTTTTTCTGAAGTATCCGCGTGCAGTCTACCGTGGCGGGGGATCTAGCTGATGGAACAAGATAAGTATCCAGTCAGCTTCCCGCCTGCCACATGAGTGACCCCACGAGACCAATTGCGACTTGTTCTCAAGGGCCAAAACAACTTAGACACCATAGAAATATGCTAGATAGTTTACTGCGAAAGTGCTGCCCAAATTTGGATGGGAGTTAGGTATGCTGTTGTGCAGCGCGAGGTTAACGCGTTATCCTCTACGGAAAATTCCTAATGAAATTTTGTGACTCCGTTGATCGCATCTGACCCTACATCCTAGAGACCTTCTATTGCTGCAAATATTTTAGAAACTCCCCAGGATAGTACACGTACGACCCTTGAGGTTCATTCGTAACTCTTCCACTGAAAGATCCCGTGCCGAAATGCCGGACATCAAGACCAAGGCTGGGAAGGGCGTTCGAAGGCCCCGGTTAGAGCCAACCGAGCAACAGCGTGCGGACATCAAGGAAGCATTTGATCTCTTCGATGTTGAGGGCACAGGTACCATAGATGCCAAGGAGGTGAGAGTGGCATTGAGGGCCCTAGGCTTTGAACCGTCGAGAGATGAGCTTAAGCGACTGATAACAGAGGTTGAGAGGAACAAGAAATCAGCGGGAAACACTGAAGGGACGGACAAACAGAGGAACAGTGAGTGTGCACGAACGGCCAAATGGCGGCCAGGATAGATTAGGACTCCTGGGTTCTCGGGGGCCGTGGCACGGTGGCATCGCATAACACCAAGCGAGCAAAAACACAGGAAATGCCCCCAGTAATCGTAGAAGGGGAGCCAATAAATATGACGTACTTTGTTGGGGGGGAATGATCCTGCTTATCCTGCCTACGACGACATGGTTTGCGGTGCAGCAGTGACTCAAGGCGCAGGACAACCATCCTTGGGGCAACTGGACTATAATGACTTTTTGGAAATTATGAAAATCAAAATGAACGAAAAACCAACTCGAGAACAGCTGAGCAAAGGTGAGGAAATCCTGAGTCTTGGCACAAAATATGTGTGCGTAACTTGCGAGGCCTGCACCACTCAGAAATCGATCCCCTCCACAGCACCGTCGTGCTTTTGCAGGCTTCTTGGCCCTTGCAAACGGAAAGGATGTCATCACCTGGGACGACTTGAAAAAGGCCTCTGTCGACCTAGGGGAGAAGTTGTCAGACGAGGAGCTGCGTGAAATGCTTGCGCATGCGTGCCGTGGAAAGTCGTCGCAGGTGACAGAGGAAGATTTCTTTCGAATACTAAGGAGCTAAACGGCCAGTTGGCCGTGTATCTTATACAGTTGCAGTATCACACCGTGTATACGGCTGCAGCAACCAGATACTTTTAGCTAGTGAGGTTTCTGTAGGCAGCTACTAGAGATGTTTCCACTGTATCCTAACAAAATGGGGTATATCAACGAGAACACATTAACGATCCGAGCTGAAAACCTATATTTTCGTTATACCTACAACTAGTTCAGGAGGCTTTCTGCAGAAAGCAACAATTCTAGGGCCCTTAATACTGAGGCCATCGACGAAATAACCCTTGGTTTTGTGTTCACCTCCCCTAAAAACTCAAGGGTTACCTCGTCTCCACTCACGTGGCATGGAATATTTCTCGCCGGCGTGTCACAGTTGCCAGGGATTTTCAAACGCAATTCGTGCAGTCTTCACGTCAGTGGCGCCCTGGGATAGGTGTGAAGATGTCCAAAAAATTAAATGCACGAGAAGCTAAATGCTTTCACCTTAACACGGCAGTATGACGGGTAGAACTGCGGGATTGCAGATAGTCGGTCCCGCTTTCCCGTGTTGAAGTAGAAACGTGCATCATGCCAGTCACATCCAGCTCTATTAGATACACGATGCTTTTGGTAGCAGATAAACACGTTTCCCAGCTGTGAAAGTGGCTCGGCTTTCCGATAAGCAACAGGCAGAACAGGAACTATTTCTCAAGGTGGTCAGTAAACCGAGTGTTTCGCGGGCAGCTGCAAATTAGGGAGGATATACAGAGTGAGCACCCTGAGGAAGACAGCCGTAACGAACTAATAGAGCTCTTCTGAAATTATATCTGACCTTATTGTGCGTGATGTATATTTTGTAAGGGATGACCGGGTTTCTGCTGAGCCACTGCTAGGCGTTCTCCCTGGTTTCAAGAGTAAACAGTCACTGCATCACCTCTACCCTCGAAAATAGTGGAGCACTGCTCCGTCCCTGGGGCATCGAAGCGTTGCGTAGGTTAAAACCTATTTGTTGTACGCTCCTCTGATGCTACAAAATCTTAGGCAGTGCAGATACTTTGGACTGAGCCGGCGCCCTCCTAAACTGCTCTTCTCATTGTATACTCTGTGCCCAGCAGCAATTAGCTCAGACGTTTTCGGTACAGGCCCAGTGCAATGATTTTTCTCGAAATTTAGCCAAAGTGGGTCACGCAAGCCGCTGCAAGGAATATGCTAACTCTCGTTGGTCCTTAAGCTTGAAGCGCCTGTTAGCACTTGTCTCCGGTCGCCTCGTCGCCTCGTGATGCCATTTGATGCCGTTTGCAACCTAGGCTACATTTCCCCCACTTCTGGAAGACCATTTGTAGTGGACGTCAGATTGCGGGCGTCTGCCTTGCATAAGTGAGAGATGATGCTGCGCCGGCAAAGGTTATAGCAGCAGGCTTTTGCTGCACTCAGAGCTATCGTAGACTGCTAAGCAACGGACTTATGTTTATATAGGTCAGTAATCTCTGAGGCTGATCTGGATTGGTGATTGTAGCTGCCGGTTGCAACAATCCAATAACCGGAATGCCAGGCTGGGTGACCCCAAACATTTCCGGACAGAAAAGAAATTCTGGGTAGCTATGAGTGCAAAATCAGCAGTGACGCTTCGTGGATGAGCAACTGTATTTATACAGGACCCAGCAACGTTCGGCAGAGGCCCTCCGAGGCGCCATTGCCATGGGAAAAATAATCGGGTTAGCCTTGGCTTTTAGTTCGTTCTGTTGGCAAGTCGGGTGGATCTAAGCCCCTGAGAAGCCTGTAACGGTAGTGGATACGCCTTTGTGCCTGTTCAAAGGCTGTGTCTAGGTCCTAAGCCGGAAGCACACCATGGTAGGAAAAAGGCAGAGATTTGAAACATTGACACACTGTTTTCCATGGCACTCAAGGGTATACACACCGCTAATGTTCAGTCTCAAATGGCAACCAAGCAATACATGTTTCCCTATATTCGGTAAGGAGAGCAAGCGCCTCTTTTCTGATACGTAGTCAGCTGCTATGCGGAAACCAGGTGCGCTTACTTCTCCGGCCATTAAGTCAAAGCCTCTAAATGCATTCCTTAACTCATGAGGAAACCGAACAAGTACTTCGTCAAAGTGTTCAGCGGAGAGGCGTGCCAAGGCTGTAAATGTTTTTGCTTTCACAGTTGCCGATCGCTTTGTACCTAGCAGACAGCAGTAGAATACAGAATTGTGAGATAAGCACAGGTAGGTCTTCGCCATCAAGTAGCAACATCGAAGACTAGAATTCTTCCAGGCAACTCCGAACCTACTAGGCCTCACCTACTGTTAGGAGGGCCAGCTCCCCAAAGTAATCTCCACCGGACTTAGTCATGATGACCTTGCCTTCAGCGGAAAGCACCTCTACGTTGCCCTGAAGCAAACAAAAATGTGCGTTGATCTTCAGCTTGCATCGGTGGCAATCCTAATAGCTTGCCTCCATTTTAGCAAGTGTACTTCGAAGTCCTGTTGGCAGTTTGAAGTCACCTTAGTCACAGTTTCTTACAGCTTTTCAAGCTCTTTTATCATCAGGAAAGCTTATGTCATTCCACTACACTCAGGAAGGAGTGAAGCCGAAAGCATTCAAAGCTGAAAACCGGACCACATACTTTTATAATAAAAAACATGCAGTCTCCTTCCTGGCCAGCGCGGATGATGTAGTCTCCTGGAGAGTAAATCTTGTCTTCCAGTCTCATAACGACATGCTTGGTAAACTCTGGGTCACAGTGCTGAAGAAGCAGAATTCGCACTGCAAGAAGCCAATTCTTGATGCACTAACTGGAGCCTGTGTAATCTCAAAGAGGCACTCTTTCTGCCGGCAGAAAACCGCCATTGTGAAGTGTAAGCGGGCTTGCCTTAAAAAAGTTGGCCTTGCTGACAAGACCTTTGTAGAGATGAAGTTTTAATTCTTCGAGCAACGGTTCATTTAAGGAGCTCATGAGCTTCGTGAGAGCAAATGTGTCCCTGCTTGAGTGGACATATCTGCGTAGGCAAACACGAGAACGTGCATTTTCTGCTGGTGCCTTCCACCGATGCAAGTGCCTAAAAGAGCGCTTCAATAGACCTGAGGTCTAGCGATCCCTTATGTGATTCGCATCGCTTAAGGCATATTTTGTAAACGATACTCCTTACCTGAAATATTGATCTACTCGCTTCTGCATCTCTGCTGGGACACGTAGGATGCGCATGGCTTCGGTGGAGAAGGCCATGTCGTCGGAGTGTTGTCCCTCAAGAAGATTTAACCGTTGATAGAAGACCGTAATTTCACCAAACGCCATGGCAGAAATAAGGGTGCCGAAGGGGGCGACGATGCAATACTGAAGAAAGTCCAGCACCTCGGCGTGCGTCCAACCTTATTTCATGGTAATACCACAAACTTTGAACGTTTTGAACCAAATGTCTAGGTAGCACACAATTGCTCAATCGCCTACCAATAAGAGCTCGCTGGGCGATAAAATGTCAGCTTTAGAGATTTGGCCGTGGATGAAGTTGATGCCGTAGGCGAAGCTAAATGCATACTCATCAACGGGAGCTGCACGAAAGAGTTCAGAATACGGTCCTGATTTCGAATTATTCATCAAGCGTATATCACCAAAAAGGAAAATCTGCGTGGCAGAATAGGCTCTCGTGTGGGGCATTGTGACGACTAACGGTCAAGCAGGGCTACATGGCGCTCCCACAGGTCTTGAGCTTCAACCAACATGAAAAACACGCATCCAACAATATGGTTAACGGCGACGAGAATGAGAATGAGCCATATTACTTGGAACCAGGGGACACGGCGAATCCTATCAGTGCAGGGAGGCCACCAAATAATGCGGTGCACGCGGACGTATTTTGCTAGCATTATAAATAAAACGCCACTCTCCCCTAAATGCGCAGCAAATCAAGCAGCAAAAATAGAACAAGGTGAAGAAACGCTCAACTGCACCCTGCAGGCAAAGTACTAGGTACTAGTTGTACCGTATGGATGAGGAAGCTTGGTCGTGGTTAATTAGTTACGCTGAGCATAGGGAAGGTGATATGCTGCTTTCAATATGTATAAAATGGGTCAAACATACATGTACTCTGTCCGAACAGGAATGGCGATATCAAGCAAGACAAAATGTCAAAATAGAACGTGGCAGAATGTAGATGAATGCCGATTACGCTTTCTCTATGTTGGATTTCCGTCCTGCGCTCCCGGTCAATGACGCTGATGTTCAACTCCAAACCAACGCCAACCAAATATAACAAGTCAAGAACCACGTCTACGCATAGCAACGTGAGGCAGAAGGAATATGCACGGCAGAACGCCACAAAAAACGGCGAGAACCAAATTGTCCATACGGTAATGATACACATAGCCACCCCCTCAAGCCTTGCAATCCAAGAGAGATAAGACCAAACGCCTTCGTCCACCGGTTCTTCCAGCTGATAAATGCGTCTCAGTTCCTTTGCAGTCGCAGGCGTCATACGCTCTCGTATATCAAAGGTTGGAATGGACGCAAGTACAGAATCTCGAGGGGCGGTAGAACGGCGGGAGCGCCTCGTCCCAATTCTCACATGCGACATGGCCCGATTCAGTGTGTTCTGAATGCATTCCGGCATGCTTGAACCCCTTCCCGCTCCACTCCTGGAGCTCGCATCTTCGCCAAAGTAGCCAATTTGCACACGCTGAGATCCCGCCTTTCGGGGCGATCCCGTTGAGACGATACAACTCCTCCGAGGCTCTCTTTTGATTTCTGAGACCCACCCCGGTTGATCGCCGCCATCGCCCACTCGCGAGGGGTGGGAGCCCCAAGCCACCACGCCATCGTTGCTGTGGTTACTCGGGGCTTCATTTGTTTCTCCAGCTACATTCTCGCCGTATATTACGTGATCATTTGATGAAGTTCCGCTTCCCCACCCAGCACTCATGGGTGAGGGGCCGGTGCAGAATCGACTCTATCTTCAGTAGAGTAACCGAAAGGATCTACAATGCCATGGAGGGGGGGAATGGAGAGAGATTTATATGTTATTTTGCTCCAATAGTGCAAATAAAACGCACCATAAGCGGAGAATTGTGATTTCAACTCGCATAGCGTTGATTTCTACCCCAAAAAATAATGCTAAACCCACCCCAGGAGAGTGCTGTGGCTAATTCCTGTTCAGATAGGAAGGGCCAGGGCAAATGCCACAAGTGCCACGCTATCACAGAAAAGTGAGGTTTTTCAGAGGATACTCTTTGAATGACTCCTATTCAGTGGTGTGCAGTGGACCTAGAATAGAGCCGGCTTATTTCTGCACCACAACTGGATTGCTTCGTAACCATTCGTTCCGTGCAGACTGACTGACAGCCAAGGAGCATTTCTGCAGGCGAAATCTAAGAATATACGAGATTTTAAAGAAGCCAAAATTGCCAAGAAGGGGTGTCCATGGCAAATGTGTCTAAAGAACGTATGCGGCGACCTAGGCCCACCAACAATAGTCTACACTGGAGGCCAACGCAGCCGCTTAAAATGACGATGCAACGGGACTGTAGCTCCTTGACTTGGAACTACTACAACTCCTTTTCTTAATTTTCAGAGAACACGCGAAAGCAATTCCTTATAGTACGGGGGATGTGCTCGATGCGCAGCCGACTGCGTGTCACATTATAGAAGTGACCCTACCACTCTGGCCTTGCGCGTTTCTGCAGGTTCGGAAATGTGCTTCTTTACCCTCACTTTTTACTGCACGAGTCAAAATCTGCACTGTGATGCAAAATACAACCCCTCTTGAGGACTGTCACTTGTTTTGGTTGTTTTGGCGCCAAGAAAACCGTTTCCAACTCTGGCAAAACCTCCCAAAAATCCTCTCGGCACTTGCTTCTCGTTTGCATAGAAATGAAGAAGGAACCGAACCATGGACTCCTGATAAAGTCCTGGAACGTTGTTGATGGACAGGTACTTGAGTTCCTGGCGGCAACTTGGATTTGCAACCTCATACCAGGAAGTGCTTTTGGGGAATGGAATCCCCCGCTAAATACGTTGTATGCTTATTCAGTGAATTGTTCACGTCACATGTATCTCTCTAACGATTGATTATATTAACACTCCGCGGCTGTTTTCAACCACGCTGTAGCTCCGAACATAGTTCATCCATTACCAATAGTGAGGCATCTCAAACGCTGTAGATCAGAGGTACAGTTGTGCCTGTTCTTTTATCAAGCAACACAACCAGCACATACACCTCTATCAGCTTGCTGACCGTCAGGGATGTTGCAGTGCGTGTCCGCTGCGAGGTGGAGCAGGCAGGCCCCCGTAGTGTTGACTGAGCAGCCTGACTGTTCGAATACCACTCAGCTTCACTAGCAGTTTAGACTGTGTCTACTAGCTCCGCTACTGATGATGACAGTTGGAAACCCTAGCAGCCTCTGCTTCATCGTCGGCGCATAGCTCCAGGAGGACACTTCAGAGCCTGAAGGCTACCCCGATCTTGGAAAACATTGACCTCACGCAACCAGTAGTAAGCGGAAGCTGCGAGACGCAAAGTTTAGCAAGTCCTAATGCAACTGTGAAGCGAAATGCACCTGGCATTTCCTAGGAAGTGAGGCCCTATGATCACGGCGTATAGCTCGCGACGAGCTGCTCTACTGCTAATTTGTGTACACGTCNCGTCTGCTGTCTAGGTTCGCCTTGGGAGTTTCATTTCCAAGATGCAACCTTAAAACGACTGCCCAAATAGTTTTCAAAGAAAAATCGAGATGAGAGCGTGCGGAAAAAACCGAACTGTACGGCCAGAGCACAAATAAGGCCTCTAGACAACGGAATAGCGCCCAACAGCCTGCCGCTGACTGGTCGTTAGATTCAGTGACTTCAGCGCGATGGATTCCACCAGCTCGTACACTGCATGCCTGAACCACAGTCGCACAACAGGTGACACAGATTGCCTAAGAGATGTGGAGATTCAACATGAAGAATTGATGGATAGCCATTCGGATGCATTAGACAGCCTCTAGCGCTACGATACGCTTACAGCGAAGACCCCCCAACAGCAAGAGAATGAATCCTACCTTGCTCTCTGAACTTGAATTGGTGTCGGGGCAATGATTTCCACATGTAAGAACTTCACGCCCGGTGCAAGCTGCGTGCGATGCTTCAGCGCCGGTTCCACGTGCTGGCCTTTCACATATAAAACAGCCCCGGTTTCTTCCATGATGCGTGACATCAACTCCTGCACAGTGCGCAAAAGATGGCGACATCTTAAATCTCTGTAGGGTTTTCAGACATTTGCCACAAATCACTCAAGGCTACATGGCACTGCAGCTGAAAGACAACAACCTCATCCAAAAGACAGCAAGCCACTGGAAGAATATAATGCGATTGACTGTTTTAGCAGAGACCCAGCCACTGCTTTCCTGAGGCTGTATACTCCTCTACGAGGGACAGAGCCTCTCCAAGCAGAGTAACGGACCTTCTGGGTGATTTTGTATCGTGCCACCTGCGGATAGTCGTTAATTTCAAGTTCATCCACGAAATTGCCAGTCTCAGGACAGACAAATCCCTTCTCGGAAAGTCCAGGCACCTTGCCAAGCGTAGGGTTCGAAGGCGCCGAAACGCTACTAATAGCCGCCGCTAGCTCGGCTGAGTCCTGCACCCGCACCACACGCTCATTCAACGGGCCATGCAGCATATGAGGGCAATTTCCCAGCATTTAGACCCAACACTAAAATTGCACAAGCATTCAGCATCACTAATAAACCCGAATACTGAACTCGTTCCCTGCAGTGCAATGCACAGACGGAGCAGTTTGCTACACCGAACGAAGATCCTCCGCTGTTATAGATGCGCACAGAGAATGCCTTTATCTTGTCAAGAGCTGCCTGGAGTTGACCAGAGCTTGCTGTGGTGCCTTGCTTAAGAATAGATAGTGCCTCCGCTGCGGCATCCATAAATGGGTCCTTCTCTTTTGGCAGCGCTTGCCCTGTTATGGAAGTGGCCAAAGCCAGCTGCATGCCCGGCGCTGCTTTTTGCTGAACTTTCGGACGAGGTGACAAGTGCTTCTTGTACGATTCACGCAACTTGTCTCTGTATTGCCCTCGATCTGCTTCCGGAAGGCCTTTCAGCGCCTGCTGTAGCATGAAGTCCACCTGCAGAGATACAGTCAAGCGCCAAAGGAGAAAATGCGAGTTGTCATATCCATGCAATAATGCATGAAGTCAGATGTGGTAGCCGTTGCCTGACTCATGCCAGTGAATACTACAACGCTGCTCCTTGTGTACTATAAAGTGAAAAACACCCACAAACAGACCCAGGGCACCAATACCAAATGGAACAACCGCTGGGAATACTTTCCGAACGGGTGGACGATTTCCCAAGTAGTCCACAAAACAATCCACCCAACATCCCCAAGTGGTCGCATTCTCATAACCAACAAGCGCTTCTGCGGATGCCAGCAAATGCGACGACACTTCGCAGCCTAACCCAGCATGCATTCAACAACCCATGATGCGCAGTTGCCAATGCTCCATAGCTGTGCTTGAGCAGCATGCCACTGATGGCACGTACAAGCACTTTCAGCATGCAGAAAGTAAACGCCTCTGGCGCTACGGGAGTATTAATTACCTGTTGGTCTGCAGTCAGTTTTGTCTTCTCGCTTCCGGGTGGCGGTAGGCCTGGCGGTGGAGCCGGCGGAGTGGATGGTGGTCGTTTGGCAAGCTCGGCATCCTGCAACTTGAGTATTTTTGCAATGAGCTTGACACGCGCAACACCTTCTGTGGAACTCGCCGGCTGGGTGACGGTGTCGCCTCCAGCCAGCTGATGTTTTGCCAATAAGGCCGCCTTGGCAGCGGCAGCCTCCACTGCGGATTGCAGTGAGCCCGGCGTCGATGCGGCCCCACCTTTTGCTGCCGCGGCTGCTGTAGCTGCTGCCATTGCTGCATCCATTGTTGACATGGTGTTGGTGAGTGCCAGCTGGGTGTTATTAGGCGGTGGGGGCAAAAAGTCATCTCTCTGAAGCAACAGTTCCACTTCCTCAACCTCATCAAAGTCGTTGGCTCCAGACAATTCTTTCTTGGCTTGTTGCATCTGCTGCTGTTGGCGACTTTTTTCTGTAATTGAGAATGTAAATCCTTTCCCCCCAAATCCGCCTCGCTTCGTCTTCTGCGCCAAACCCATGTTGCACTGTACGCGGAACTCCGAACTGAGCGCTGCCAAAGACGGAGGGACATTTTGCCCAGACTGAATTAATGCCTGCACAGGTAAGGAAGCAACCAAAGAGACTGGAGATGGAGGAATACAATGATACATACACAAAGCACACTCTTCCTTTGTCTAAACAAAGACTGTCTGCAGTTGTGCTTCATTTGTTGCATATGGCTTTTTAAAAGAACGCGTGGCACGCCCCTCGTTGCGGCTAGGGGCAATGCACAGAAAATATATTGCTTTAGGAAAATAGCAGTCTCTAAAGGCCGAAACTGGCTCGTACCCCTTCAAGCTCTTCTGCCTTGTCTGCCTCTTGAGGGGTTATGAACGTATATGAAACCCCAATGTTCCCCGCTCGCCCTGTCCTGCCGATGCGGTGGACGTAGTCTTCAATGTGCGAAGGACAGCAAAAGTTGATAACCAGAACAACCGAGGGTACATCAAGCCCACGCGCTGCTACGCTCGTCGCAATCAACAGCGTCTTCGTGCCATCCTGAAGACAGGAGAGCGACACCAAAACAATGCGAAAGTGCGACGCTATCATGCCGCCAATGGCTTCGATGTAGCAAATGCAGCTTACAGACAAACTACAACTTACTTTAAACTCCTGTATTGTAAACTCTCGGTCCGTCTGATCTTGTCCTCCATGCAGCACAAGCGCCTGATAACCATACTGGAGACGTAACACACGAACACACGGCAAAAAGCGATGCTTGGAGTTGGGCAACACTATGGCGCCTATGTTCAAACGGAAAACTGTAGTAAAAACGGCTGGCGCTGTGTTCCCAGCCAGTACAAAAAAAGGCAGGATGAATACATCGGGTCGAGAAGACGTCCAACTACACAACAATGCAACTTGCGCATTCACTGCAGAAGAGCTGAATCGTAAAAGCTGACCTTCAAAAGTTCAGCAAACAGCTCGTCAGCTTCTATCTGCTTGTTTACAAAGACTATGATCGATCCATAGTCCTGCCAATCCCCTAAAAGTTGCAGTAGTCTGAAGAGCATCAGAAACAAAGGCCCACACAAATCCAAAGACCCTATTGGGTGTGGAAACACTAAAATGGAGATGAGCATAGCATCAAGAGATCAAGCCTAGAAAGAATGCCTCGAATAGAATTAAACCTCCAATGAAAGGCTTTCTACAAAACTCTTCAAACGACTGAATTAGTAAAGGTCACGTTATCGGCGCCCAGCTCCCCCACCCGAAGCGCCTCCGAAGGCCCGGCAATTCAATGTTAATGCATTACCTGTAGAACTTGCGTTCTTCATCCATCACTTCAACGTACTGCTGCACCTTTGCAGCTGTTCGGCCCTTTTCACCAACAACAACTTCAACTGGTTTGTAAAGGATGCGCCGAGCCAAAGCTGCATCAGCAAAAGGGACAACACACCAAGTCGGGACGATCGTGAGGCACAGTCACATAGCCAGAAAACTGAGCAATAAACAATAGGCAATCAGATCTCCTAAGCAGGCATATCCCCTAATACTTGTTAAAAATTACTGCACTCCCGTGAGTAAGTCACTCGTCCAACATACATTCAATGTGGGAAGGGAAAGTTGCAGAAAAGAGACAAGTTTGCCTATCTAGGCGAGTGCTCCTCAGGATGGAAGATATCTGCGGTTCGAATCCGTAATCAAACATTCGGTCGGCCTCGTCCAGCACCACGAAGGTCACGCGCTGCACAACAAACGTATTTGAAAAGAACAGTAAAGCTTCAATAACAGACACTTCTTAACAGCGACGTGAAAACACTTCCGCAGAAGGGAAGCAATTGCTACAAAGCAAATAAGGTGCCTGCAACGGCGAAGGGATCGCAGAGTTTCATGCGCTAGCCCAACCCGAAAAGTGCTGTCTCATGGTTGCGTTCACTGAGTCCCTCGCATACCTTAAGGCTTGTGAATTTGCAAGAGTTGAGAGTAAGAACGTCAATTAGTCTTCCCGGCGTTCCTACTACTACATCTACCCCTCGCCGTACTTGTCCCAGTTGGCTGCGCAAGCGCATGAAATGCAGAACGTTCGTGGGGATAAATCATAAAGCATATGTATCTATTGTCATCCGACGATATGAACACTTGCGTGCTTAGGCAAACGGCGGTTCCAGTTCCACAGCGGCAATCGAGCTACGCCTACGCCTCCATATTTCCTCAGCATATCCAAGCAAATCAAGCAGTGCAAGCGTCTAAATAACTGCACACGGAGATCATTTGGTGCATATGTGCTTCGGATTGCTTGGAGATGTATACAAGCGATTAAATGAGACATCTACTGGCAGTGAACGCCCAGAGAACCGTCTTTGTGCGTCTGCTCACCCCCCGATGCCTGCCCCTCCATATAGTGAAGCAACATTCAAGTCCACCAACTTGCACAGACGCGAAACCTCCTTCGAAATTTGAAGCGACAACTCCCGAGTCGGGGCAATGACCTGCGGAAGGCCGCAGGCGCCAACAAACAAGGATCCCACATCCAATTTGCAACAAACCCGGGACACAGTAGTCACACTGAGTGAGGCGTCTTCGGTGTGATTCTCCTAACTACAAGGTGTAACACGCTGAGTCAGAATCAGCAGAGAGTCTACTATGAGGCACATGGAAAAGACTGGTGGGAGTATCCTACCAGGCCGATCATTCCCTCCTTGAAGTTCCCATAGATCAGCATCCTTTCACCCTTTTCGTTCTTCCGGTACCTGTCCTTATCCTCATTATCTGCAGCTGGCCGCTTCCCACGCTGTCCTCCCTTGGGGTCTGAAGCTGTATTCGCTGTGGGAGCTGCGGCGTCAGCTTGTCCCTCTGTTGCGCTTTTCTGTTGCTGCTGTTCTTCCTGTTGCTGCAAACTCAGCAGCTTTTCTTCCTTTTGCTTCGCCAGGTACTCTTTATATTGCCTTTTAACGCTTAATACGTGACGCACAAGAGGCAAGGCGTACGCCAAGGTCTTGCCGCTGCCCGTCTCGGCCACAGCGATGAGATCTCTCCCGCACATCAAGATGGGAATACACTGGCTTTGGACCGGGAACGGCTTCTCAAACCCACGTAGTTCTAGGTGCTATACAGAGTGCGCACATAGCAAAACAGTAGGGAGGCGTTATAGCATGAATTGTATAGAAAGTATAGTTCCCGCGCACGTATCCATGATCCTCCTGCCAAGGTTTGTCGAGGCAGTGCCTCCCATGCCTCCTCTTAGGCTTCATGAGGCAATACAGACCCCCTCACAAGGCGCACGAGACGCAAGCAAACTAAAGTTTCCATTAAACACTAACTAGAAATTACACGAAAACATCACTAGGATCAAAACGAAGGGGACACACAGGCTTACCCTAAGGATCTTTTCTGGCAAACCACACTGGTGGAAAGAACTGACAGGACGGGGGCACTGCTTCCCACGAACCTGAAACACAACAAGGTACATATGAAATAAAATAATGTAAGGAGGAGGCACACAAGTATCCATAAACAAAACAATGTAGGAGGAGGCACACATGTATCCGTCACTCTCTCAAGGCCTGCAGTTTGTACAGAGTTTGAACTGGCTGTATTCCACGTTCCAAATTCATGTGGCCGTCTGCACTGACGGCATCAGATGCTTTCCCCGAATATTTGTGTGCAAGGGAGACATATGCGCCCTTATCTATTTCACGCAAAGGTATACTTTCCAGCTAGTTGCCAGCTAGTTGAGTTTATCTAATGTAGATTAAACTGCATACTTTGATGTTTCCGTTCGTCTTCCGTATCGCCTCCACCTCGTGGTCCTTCAAGTCCGTGAGCTCCTTTACCTGAAACACACGCCAAATAAAAATGGATACCCATATATATGAGACAATTATCTCGCACACTGTCATGTATTCACTTGAAATTTCAANACTGCCAGGATTGCAGGTCAGTCCTCAGTGACCTTCACTAGAGCCATGAAGCAGCAGCACTACCAGACTCGTAAAGCTGCACATGGCAACATATATCTCCCAGCTCCCCAAAGTGCCCACGCACCTGCACATAGAGGTTCTTCTTGATTGGAGGGAACTTGCACGACGCATGGTCAACGAGAGGGAGTTCCTTTTTGAGTCCAACGCGCTGAACCCGCCACAGCAGCACAACAGCAGTTTGCAGCCTCTGCTCTAAAACTGAACCTTCACTGCACTCCATCCGTGCACAGCCGTAAGGCAGTGCCGATTCTCCTGAACCCTGTTCTTTGAAAGTCCCTTGTGCGCCGCTAGCACACATAGCCGTAGCCCTGTAGCTCACCTTGACAAGGTCGAAGTAAGATAGGTTCGCCAGCTGCTCCTTGGCTTGCGTTTCGTTTTCGTCATCATTCTTTCCTTTTCCTGAAGCTGCACCTTCTGCTGCCTCTGCAGCGGTTTCTGCTACCTGCGCAGCTTCTTCCTCCGCTTCTTCGTGATCCGAGTAGAGCAGCACTTCTTCCTCCTCAGCATCGTCGTCCTTTGAAGCCGATCCCTTACCTTTGTCCGAGGCACCTTCCCCAGAGCCAGGACGCCCCTTTAAGCGGCCTTTCCGCAGCGCCTCAAGGAATATCTCGTGGTACTTTGCTTCCTCTGGGTCAACCGCATCTGCTTCCGTTGTTGCTGCTGGCGTTTCTGCTGCTGCTGGTGTCGCTGCTGGTGCCTCTCCACCCTCAGCTTTGACCCCCGCATGCCCAGTTCCGCTGGTCGAGGGAGCGGTAGCAGCACCTGGAGCTGCAGCAGCTGATGGCCCTGCTGCAGCTGGTTCAGCAGCACTTGCGGGAGAAGCGTCTGCTGTTCCTGCCGCTGGCTCGCGCTTGACTTTGGAAACATCCGGCATCGGCGGAGCGGCAGCAGCAGCAGAAGAGCCGCCAACCGCTCCCTCCGTTGTTCCTTCAACTTTGACGTCACCTGTTGAAGCTTTCGCAGGCACAGGCGCTGCAGCTGCGCCTGCTGCAGCTGCAGGCTCTGCAGCAGCAGCAGGTGCAGCAGTTGCTGCAGGTGCTGCAGAAGTAGCAGGTGCAGCTGCTGCTGTTGCGCCTGTTGCTGACTTCGCCACCGCGCCTGGCGGTAGGTACGCAGCTTCAACCTCTTGCCACCTACTGATCTCCTCAAGAGAAATGCTTTGGGGCCGCGGCGGCTCTGAGCTGCGGCCGGAGATACATTCCAGGGCCTCCACCTGACCTTCGCCTTCGGCCTTCGCTGCACTCAGCTGGGACAGCAGCACCGTAAGAAAGACAGCAGCACAAGCAAGCAGAGGAATATAAAAAACTTACAGAAACAATAAGTAGTCAACTGGAAGCAGCAGTAACGCAGGTCGAGAACGAAATGCACACGCGAAACGCAATAGCCTATACAACGGCAAGCAGCAGCAGCAGCAGATGCTGCTCACCTCTTCCTTCGCCTCTGCCTCGAGAGCAGACATGAAGGCATCTAACATATCTGCATCTTCCTTGGCTTCTGGAGCAGCCTCACTTGTCTTGTGTTGCAGCTGCTTCAGCAGCAGCGCCTGCTGGTGCTTCTTCAGGCGGTTGCGAGACATCGGCTTCGGGGGCTTCATCGTCCCCTTGCCCCCCTCAATAGAAGCAGGACTTACTGAGGCTCTGTTTGAATCTGCTGTTGCAGCGGGAGACTGAGCTGCATCCGTGGCGCCCTCCTCCGCTTGCTGCTGCTGCTGTTTTTCTCCCGCAGCAGATACCTTCGCAGCAGACGCGGAAGCGAG